CTTACTCGTCAAGGTGAACTGAACATGGCATGGGAAAAGGCTAGAGATGAGGAAAAAGCTACTGCTATGGCAGCAATTATTGCAGCTACTGAGGCTCGTGATGCGGCGGCTGAGAGACAAAGAGAAATAGTTAATCGAGAGAAAGGGATGATTAGAGAAGCACTTCATCGAGAGAATGAGATGCTTAGAGAAGAAAGGATGGCTCAAACAGATCGTGACACTATGAACAAGTCTCTAGTAGGACTGTCTCCGAATTCAAAATATTTTTGGACATCAGAAAAAAGAGATGTCGTGCGAAGGAGGCGTGCAAGAGATGCCGAAACAAGTCAAGGGGGTTCTAGCTACAGAAATCCTAGCAACCAAGATCCTAGCACCACATATCCTAACTCCACAGACTTTGTATAATTTTGCATTTATTTGTACTACTTTATTTAATTTCTTATGTAATTTCTTATTTATTTTTAGAACTTTATTTAATTTCTTATTTACTTTTAGAACTTTATTTAATTTCTTATGTAATTTCTTATTTATTTTTAGAACTTTATTTAATTTCTTATGTAATTTCTTATTTATTTTTAGAACTTTATTTAATTTCTTATGTAATTTCTTATTTACTTTAGAACTTTATTTAATTTCGTATGTAATTTCTTATTTAATTTTAGAACTTTATTTAATTTCTTATGTAATTTCTTATTTACTTTTAGAACTTTATTTAATTTCTTATGTAATTTTTGTACTTTATTTAAATATTTGAATAAGATTACATAAACTCACCAAATAAACATTTTAAAAAAAAACACCAAATAAAATTACATAACCTCACCATTTAAACTTAAAAAAAAAAACAAACACACTAAATAAGATTACTTAAAAAAAAATACACTTTATTCTTCAACCACAAGCCTTATTTTAATTATCTTCGCCATCGTGCAATCTCCACTGATGGTCAATCAAGTCATTCTGGTGGGCTATGTGCCAGTATGGCTCTTGCAATGAAGTGTATCGTTGAACGATCAATTCATTGTAACGTCCATCCCGTTCCAATGGCTCGTGTTGCACGGGATCTTCGGTCCGGTCATGAGCATAGTAGATTTGTGTTCTTGAGTTGTTCATCGAATCCGGCTCGTATTCATCGATGGCATCATAATCATACTCGTCTTCAAAAATCATGTTGTGGAGAATAATACACGCCATCATGATGGATCGAAGAGCCTCGACATCAAACATTCTAGCTGCAGCCCTGACAATGGCCCAACGAGCTTGCAGGATACCAAAACAACGCTCGACATCCTTCCTACACCCTTCTTGACACTTTGCGAAGTGTTTCTCTTTTTCACTCTACGGGTGTGGCACTGTTTTGACAAATGTTGACCACCTTGGGTAAATACCATCTGCAAGGTAGTATGGTCCCTCGTATTTATTACCATTAACCCAATATGTGCATCTCGGCCCACGCCTTTGTAGCAGTTCGTCAAACACTGGAGATTGGGCAAGGACATTTAGGTCATTCTGAGCTCCTGGAACACCAAAAAAAGCATGTCAAATCCATGTATCAAAAGAAGCCACCGCTTCCAGAATGATGCTTTTGGCTCCTTTTCTGTCGCCATAAGCTCCTTGCCACACACTTGGACAATTTTTCCATGTCCAGTGCATGCAGTCGATGCTTCCAATCATGCCAGGGAAGCCTCGCATCTCACCCTTCCTCAGAAGCCTTCGCATGTCCCTTGTCGTGGGTTGCCGAAGGTACTCATTGGTGTAGAGGGCTTCAATTGCAGAGCAAAACCGCATCAGGGACTCCAGAACTGTTGTTTTTCCTATCCTTGCGATCTCATCCACTTGATCTGTAGATACTCCATATGCAAGCATTCGCAAGGCAGCCGTAATTTTTTGCTTAGGAAGAAGACCTAGAACATGAAAAGCATCATCTTTTTGCACAAAATATGGATCATGGTTGCAAACATCACTCATGATTTTAGAGAACAAACTTTGTTGCATTCTAAAACGACGTCTAAAAACATGATCAGGGAAAACGCTGTTGGGAATAAAATAATCTTCCAAGAGATCTTTACCTCGTCTTTCCCTTCTTCTATCGATGTTTGCCGCACGTCTGGGTTTGGCTATCTGACCCATAGCTTCCATGATACGGCGGGAATGTGAGGCCCTCCACCTTCTATGGTAATCATCCTCATCCTCCTCCATTGCGAATGCCTCATCTCCACCTCCACCTTGGTCAAGATTGACCAATTCTTCCTATTGTGCCAACAACCTTTTCTGGTGCTCTTGCAACTGTTTATACGCTTTCCTTGAAGAAGACATTGTAAGAACTCAAGATTTGAAAACGATAAAGAAGAATTCTGAGCTAAAAAAAAGGATTGAGTTTAGTGTGAGGATGGATGTAGGGATGTAGGGTTTATATGGACAAAAAAAAAAGAAGATGAGGTTCTGGACAATGCCACATGGCACTACGTGATTGGTTGAAAATCTTATCGAAATCTTGGCTAAATTATTGTAAATAGGAAGTGGCACGTGGCATTTCGGGATTGGTTGAAAATCTTAGCGGAAATCTATTCAAAAAATAGTACGTTCGGATAATGACACGTGGCGTGACGAGATTGGTTAAAAATCTTATCGAAATCTTGCCTAAATTATTGTAAACAGGAAGTGACACGTGGGTTGTCGGGATTGGTTGAAAATCTTAGCGGAAATCTATTCAAAAAATAGTACGTTCGGATAATGACACGTGACGTGACGAGATTGGTTAAAAATCCTATCCGAAATTAAAACTATTTTTTTATTTATTATTTTATAAAAAATTTATTTAATATTTTAAATGGACTGGGTGCCAGCGCATTTTGTAGGGGTGGAGATCGTTTGTGCCAGTGCATTTTTTGACTGGGTGCCAGCACATTTTTTTTGGGGTGGAGATGCTTTGGCCTATTACTGTTCATTGGGTCTATTACTGTTCAATTAAGTGGATAAATGGGTTGGGTGCTGGCGCAAAGTCTTTAGAGGTGGAGTTGCTCTAAAGGTGGACTTGCTCTTAATGGACCCGTTGCTCCAAAAGACTCCATGATATGGTGGATGGTTTTGATTTGGTATGGTGAAACCTCAACTTTTTTCATGATGTTAGAGCATGTTGTTTCATGTGTGAAACCCAACAGCCACACTTACTTCACATCACTAGATTTATGTTGGCCATGTGTCAGGCTTAAAAATTCGTCACACGTAGAAGGCGCGGGTTGAGATTATCAATCCCACGTCGGGGAAAGAAGAGATATTGCATATGCTTATATGTAATTGGATTATTTCTCATATTACCAATTGGTTTTATAGTGAAACCTCAATTTTCTTCACTTGCACTAACATACTTAACTTCAGCAGTTGAGAGTGCAACTGTATGAGACTCCCAAGAGAACACACCACTTCCAAAGTCAATCTAGTGGGCACCTGTCCTATTAGACTAAAATAAACAATCAACATACTAACTTAAACATGGCAGCTTAATAAATTACTTAGAGTCCAAGAAATCAGTAAAACTATTTAGCTCTAAACACCCAAAGCGATAGCTGTTGATAATGAATCTCATATTGATGGAAAAATGACATTGTATTGCATATGTTGTAATTGGGCCTGCTCATATTGTTAATTGATCTCATAATGAAACCTTAACTTTAATTAGTAGTTATAATTGTGTCATCCCTTCCCTTGGCCTTTTGCATCCTTTTTCGTGCACTCAAATAAATTCCCAAATGTGGAAATGAAGAGCTGGCTTCCAGTTATGCTTCCATCCATTACTTAGTGGCTTCAATTAGGTTCCTCTTCGAAGGACCTAAATCCTAAAATCAATGCATGAGATGGGATATGAAAGATGCATATATGTTTGCTTCACACCAAATGAGGAAAAACATAATAAGTTGCATGTTGCTTTTTCTTTATTGCCTTTTAAAATGTGCCATAAAATTGCACTTCCTATACCAGTTACGGCTCCCTTCAGTTTTGTGGAAACTCTTGAGGTTCATCCTATAATTTTATTTTATGATTCAAATTGTTTCTAATACATCATCTACACATTATTTTCATAAAAAAATTAGACCAATCAAAGATACTTACAATTTAAGCAAAGAAAGTAGATAATTCTTTAAGGGAAAACTAAAACTACCACAATGCAACCCAAATGGTTACTGATTAGACTGATTTTTGGTATAGAAGATATTCGAGGAAAGATATAAAAAAATAAAAATAAAAAGACGGTTAGATCGTTAAAATATAATACGAGTGGTTCCTACTAAGATGTCCCTTAAATAAACTTATTTGAAAAATTTCTTAATTGAAGCTTGAGGGGTTACAAAAAAATAATTCAATAATAAATAGCTGTATATAAGCTAAGAAGCAGATCAAATGAATAATTGCTTGACTTGTCAGTGGGGGGCTGAGACTACCCAGTTTAGACAGAATCCACAGCTGTATTTTTTGGAACACATGGAATTCATCTCTCTAATAATTCATACAAAAGTTGAAATTGTGGAAAGGGCTTCCTTCAATACTCCAAATACCAAATGTGAAACTGGTTACTTGCAGTTGCAGGGCCACCACATGCTCATTTTCTTCTCTACTCATAATTTTTCCCCACATTAGAAAAAGCAAACTATCGATCCAAAAAAAAAAAAAAAAAAAAGCGCAAACCTGAAAACTAAATGTATTTTACTTTAACTTAAATGATACGAGTATATCACCGCTTGGCGTTTCATGCTAATGAAACCTGATACATACTCCTTATTCTGTGTCATGGAACTCTGTCTCCTCCTGAGCTCCTCCATTCTACTACTACTAGCACCCCTACTTCTCAACACTCGGGCTAAATTAACTTCAGCTCTCTAAACTGTTTAGCCAATTGGATAATTGATGGATCAAGTTGGCTAAATTGGAATATTGCTGAAATTCTCAAGTAATCAAATAACAGAATGTGCAACAACGCTCAAATTGGTTGCAACACACAGACATAAATATTGATATGCTTGATTTTGAAAATCCAAATTACAAAGCTTGAGCCTCGTACAGATAACAAAATCGACAGCAATCTATCCCTACCAACTTAATCGAGTACTAATTACCCACCAAGTGAATCTGTGAGATCTTAATTGAACTCCTCGTTCTAGGCTAGATCATGTAACAAAAATATTCCAGGGAGAAGGCTCGCTCGCTCGCTTGTTCGCTTGCTCGCTAACCCATTGCCCATGTATTATATGCAATGACCAGAAAACTGGCAAGGACGGGCCAAATCCAGTGCTCAGAAATCATATTGCTGCCGTTCAAATCTTCACTACGTCCCATTCCATTTCCAATTGCTGTTGATGCACTGGAGATGCTTGCATTGCTAGCTGACAAGCTGTTGCATCGTAAAACACTAAACCTTATCATATCATTCTAAAACACTAACAATGTCCCATAGAATCTTGGTCTAAAAATTAAGATCGGGAAAGCGAAGCATTATTTGAATCTAAACCAAATCGGACAATGATCGTTCATCGGAACACACAAACAAAGAGACCCTTCGCATTCGGGTCCCAAACATGCCCCGTAGAGGTCCCCTTGTTTGTGTCTTGCACACGAGAATGACTTGGATGCATCTGGTACAATGACATGGTGACGTTGCGCTCTAATAGCATGATACCACACGGAGTGAGATTAATACGTGGCATTGTATTATTACCAGGCTCATCCACTTGCCGGTTAATTCGCCAAAGGGGGCAAAACCCAGTTATCAAAATTTCAAGAAGAAAAAGCAATGTAAAAACAGAAATATACATCTCTAACAAAGCCATGTAACCGAGTTACCTGGATGGGAATTTGCACTTATCATGACCTGAAATAAATAATAAATTAATTATTTACCAATACGGATCGCAATAAATCAGAAAAATGGACCTTTTTTCCCAAAGAAAAAAAAAAGTGAGTAATTAGCTACTAACGATGGAACGTACTGGGATTCAGAGAAGTAAGCGCGGCAGTGTTATCAAAGCTGCAACTATCGGCGGTCATGCCGTGTTTCAGAAAGTAGTCATTGAAAGCGTAGGAGGCAGTGTTCTGGATGTCGGCGGGGTCGTAGCAGGGTCCACCTTGCTGGATCGGGCGGCAGTCGGCTCCACCAGGCCCGCAGGCCCAGTTCAGCGCCGTCACCAGGGGGGCGTCCTCCGCGTTGTTCTTGGCCACGCACCAGAGCTCCATCTTGACGACGCCGTCCTTGGCCTTGGACGGCGGGATCAAGTGGCAGAAGAGGGTCAGTGAAAGGATCAAAGACAAACCGATGCTTTTGTGCATTTTGGGAGAGAGAGAGAGCAGCAGCAGCAGCAGCGGGGTAATTGGCGTTTGCTTTTGGGGTTTCGGAAAGACAGAGAGATCGAGAGGAGGGGGATAATATTATAGCCGTTTGGTTTGCTAAAGCAAATTTATTAATTGTTGAAGATGGGAGGCCAAATGGGGATGCGGAGGAAAAGTGACCGTTACTGTGAAGAACGTAGTAGAGACTAGAGAGCAAGTGACAGTGTGAGATCGACAAGCACGACAGAGGGAGAAAACATGAACAGTGCTCTGTCTTAGAGCAACTCCAGCCCATACAATCCCCTGGGCTAAGGGCAACCAAAGCGCTCTCCCCCAAAATCACCCTCCAACGCAGACCAATCCACTGGGCTCTAGGGGACACTGACTTTTCCCCCAAGCTCGATTCGATAGGCCCAGAGCCCGAGGTTATATGATGTCAGCCACGATTGATTGTTTTTTTTTCTTTTTTTTTTTGTGCCAGGCGCTTGAAAAACACAAGGGAATGGGCGCGTGTTCCTGAGAACATTTCAGCACATGGAGCCCATATGAAGGCCCACTTACAGCTTCGAAAATTGTCGCGACGTGGTGAAAGTTGGGTCGTTGGATGTCCAACAACTATTTTTTTTGGGGCCATTGAATTTTCAACTGTACAAAAAACATGAAATCTAACCCCCAACGGCTAGATGATGTGTCACAATTTGGACCATTTGATTTTCCGATCAACGGTCTAGGTTTTTTGGCTTAAAAAAATTAGAAATATAAAAAATGTTATCATTGGCTATGTGTCACAATCTGCTCGGTTAGATTTCAATTTTTTGTAATTCAAAGATCCAGATTAATTAAGTTAATAAAAAATAAAAAAATATATATAATGTTTTTTATAAATACCTAACCATATTCTTCTACCTTACACAACATAAATATTTTCAAATACTTTCAACCGATCTTTCTCTCAAGTTTTAATATAATAAATATTACATATATTAAAAATAATACTTCGAATTCATAATATAACAAAATACTCATGTAACGACCCATCCCCAAAAATTACTGTTTTTTTTAATTTTAAAATGTGAAATTACGAAAATGCGCTTCGAGGCAAATGTGTTGACTTTGTTTTACTGTCTTGTTGTGTCACGTAAGATCCTTTTTTTTGTCATATCCTTGTAGTATTCGTTGCGACGAACGTGTAGGAGCAAGCGGAATCGAATTTGGAGTTATAACGAAGAAGTTATAGGCGAGTAAAGATAGGGGCAAAATGGTCATTTGACCATTATCTAGAAGGCTCCAGATTTGCTGGAGCAGTCAAATGGTGCCACGTGTGTGGCTATGATGGAAAGAAGATGACAGAAGTGAGTAGGATGTTGCCTAATCGCGATGGAGGAGAGGAAAGAGTGACCAATCAGAAGAGAAAGTAAGGAAGGAAATGAGGGAAATAGAGACCCAACAAACCCAGACCCTCCCTTCGACCCGTGACCCGACTTGATTCTTATGAACACCCCGACACCGATACCGGCGTTTTCCCGACGAATTGACCGTCGCCACCACTTGCACTCGACTCCATGACCCTTCCTTTACCAATTCCACCCCAAAAATCAAAGACATTTGGCCTTAATTCATGACGATCAAAGTCGATGGCTTGGAGGACACCACGGCTACGATTCGCCATTTCTGCAACCACCAACGTCGACTACCACCATGGTTCGACTCCTCTTGAGGCCAAGATCTAACCCCAAATAAGTTTAGGTACGGTAGAGCATCAGAACGGATGAATTGACAACCCCTCATTTCTTGGGTTCCCAGTGGTTTGTGGTGATTTTCATGCCACTTCCGGACCGAATTGAACTTCGGCCTAGGTATGAAAGTTGTTCCTCTCATTGAGATCTACATTCGTGTAAAATTTAAGAATTTTTGGAGTTGTTGAATTTTCTGATGAGTCGGGACTGCTGGCTACCATGTACAGCGGCGCATGGCTTTCCAGGTCGCTGCATCATGGCTGCTCGTGCGGCAACGCATTAGGGGAAACCTGAGGTCTCTCTTTAGGTTTTTCAACGTGCTAAATCTAAATTTGCCATCCGTTTGCCCAAATTCTATTGTTTAACTATAGTTTTACCAAATGGTCCCTAATTGTGGTTAGGTGCATTGGTGGAAAGTGACTCCATCCTCGCTAGCTTGAGCGATTCCCGGGCAACAAAATATCTGTGCATGGATCCCTTCCTAACTTGCATGTTTTTATAAAATATTAGGCATGCATTCACGAAAAGCATGATTTCATGATTTCACGTTTTATGCATTATTTATGATTTATCGAAATTGTGTTTTACTGAAGGTCCTGAATATTTGGATTCTCGTATATGAAATTTATGGCTTTCGATTATGATTTATATTACGGATTTCCGAAAATGAGTTATGAATCTTTGGATTTGCATATATGGAATTCTATGGATTTACGAATATGAGTTATCATGGATTTGCGAGATGAGACTTTGAGCTTTTGAGCTCCGGATTGGATATATGGTTTTTTTTTTAAATATGTTTTCGGTACTTATCTAGTGGGTTATCATACAACACATCCATGCAACACGGGTATGTAGATGTCTATGGCCATAGGACACAGTTAAGGATATCTATGTATATATTTCTTCTCTGGCGTAACCCAGAGTCGTACAACTTCACCTTCGAGTGATGGGGCCTACCATGTTTCTTCACTGGCGTAACCCAGTGTCATACAACTTCACCTTCAAGTGATGGATAGGTACTGCCTTCGGGCGAATGAGGAGTTGATGATATTGATGACATACCCCCAGCTTCACTAGCCCAGGGCTAGTGTCGATGTGTGATGTTATATATCCTCTTTTCCGGCATAACCCGGAGTAGTACAGCTTCATCTTCGGGTGATGGACCATGGTTTCTTCACTAGCATAACCCAGTGTTGTACAGCTTCACCTTCGAGTGATGGACATGTACCTTCTTCGGGCGACTATGATACCCCTATTGAGTACAACATTATCGAGATTTACGGATTTGCCTTCGGGCGGTGATAGCACCATTTTTAGAGCATGGCTTTTTATTATACATATTTTATGAATATTTTCATGGCATGTAGAGTTTCGGAAAAAAACTACTATGTAGTATTATATATGTATGTTTTCAAAACAGGGGGTTAGTATGTTCATAAATAAAATGGTTTTCTTATTATTAGTACTATTATTATACACTTTGGTCCACTCACTCTTTTGGTTTTGCGCCCCCTCAAGAATTAGAATTGAGGCATACAATCCCGACGTCAAGGCAATTCCGCATAGGGATCTTCGAGTCTTCTCAGGGTAGAACCCATCCTTTTGTTCATACCTTTTTATAATAATTCTCTCACATTATTCTTAATTAGTTGTATGCTTTGAACACGATTCTGCTTATTTCGTTCTAATTACGTATTCTTAATTGTATGCATATTTAAAATGGCTTCGTAACCCTCAAGTGTCGGCCAACACATGCCTATCTTTATGTGACAGCCTATCCCGAAAATATCAAAAACGTATGCGTGAAAAGACAGTTTTGCCCCTAGTTCGATTTCGTTACATTTATTGGTTGTTTTTGTGTGTGTTGGCATGTTTTGGGCCACACACTCACACTCCTACACTGCACACCCTTCTGTCCCTTTCCCTGTCTTTGTCCCGAGCCCTTTCCCTGCCCATTCACTATATACGTACGGACACACACCCAAAACCATCTAAACTTCCACAGATCGAGGAAACCAAGACCATATTCGAGCTCGTGAGGCTCGTAGGAGTCCAGTCATACCATTTGCAGGTAAGAACTCCATCGTTTTCACGTCGATTCAACGATGTCCGATTTGAGGTACTATTCATGCACACGTGATTTCTCACGTTTTAGGAAATTTCAAGCTTGTAGGAAGCTTGGTGAGGTCCCAAGGAGGCTCGGAGTAGTTCGTTTGAAGGAATTGGACGTCGGGATCGTTGGTTTCAAAGTTGGCCGGAGTTGGATCGATTTTGCAGGTGAGATTTCGTGGTTTTTAGCCCTTAAAGGTTGTATGGTTGTGTTCCTCTAGTTCTAGGCTTCATTTTGGTACCAAAATCGTGGAATTTGGTTGAAAAACGAAGGAGTTAGGACGTTTTAAAAATTTTCCAGTTTTCCAGCGCCGGCGACATCGCCGGAGGCTCACCGGGGAAGAAGACGGAATATTCCGTCAAATCTGACAGAATATTCCTGACGCCATTGACGGAATCTGTCAAAACTGACGGAATATTCCCTACTGCGACAGTTGACGCCGTCAGCGTGCCAGGCACGTGCCTGCGCGTGGCCGGCGCGTTGGGGCGCGTGCGGCGGTGAAAAATTTTTCTAAAAATTTGTGGATGTTCGTGAGGTTGAGTAGATCACGTTGGTGTATTCATACACCCCATTTGAGCATTGTATGAGAAGTTATTTCTAAAGTTTGGTTATGTGCTTTAAAATTAATGTTTTTATAGTTATTTCACATATAGGTGAAACGTATCCCGAGGACGAGCGTGGTCACTCGAGGCAGGGGGCTTACGACCCTTCCACTTACCAGTGAGTGGGCTTTTGGTTTTCCGTATATACCTATATACTTATATTTCCCAGAAATTGATTTAAATGTTTATTAGTTATATGCCATTTTTACATTGTTGGTTGTTAGGCATGATTAGTTGCATTTATATATACATATATATGTTCGTATGTATGTTGGTGTTGTGGACGCATAGGTAAGTGCCAGGTAAGTGTTATTCACGTTTATATTCAGTAGTGATTCGAGATGCTTAGAGAGCTCATAACCTGCACCCCCGGTGTTAGTGCTCTCGCCCAGAGTAGGTCACAGTCCTGTCGTACAGACCACTTTAGGTGGTTCCGACTCGTAGGTGATCCGCGATTATTCGCACAGCTTTCACGTGATCGTAGCATTAGAGCGTTTATATGTATTACACCCATGCCTGTCGTACAGACCACTTTAGGTGGTTCCGACTCATGGGCAGGTTTAGTTATTGTGATTGAGATATGAGCTTCTAGAAGCAGCCGTACAGGTCACGTTAGGTGACTTCGGCTGCCAGAGTATATGTTATTGATGTGATTTATACC